AAAGCCTTAGCCGAGTTAAATAATCTCGGCCAAAAGTCTTGGAGTTGAACAAAACATTAACCTCTATGGCCGAGCTAAATCATCTCGGCCAAGAGCTTTCAAAGTTGAACACAACATCAACTTCCTTGAGCGAGCTAAATCATCTCGGTCAAAAACTTGGGAGTTGAACATATCATCAACTCTTTCGGCCAAGCAACATCTGCTCGGTGGAGATCCAAGTTGAACAAATCATCAACTCGTTTGGTCGGGCAACATCCGCTCGGCCAAGCTATGAGTTGAACAACTCATCAACTCGTTCGACCGAGCAACATCCGCTCGGCCAAGCTATGAGTTGAACAACTCATCAACTCGTTCGGCCGAGCAACATCCGCTCGGCCAAGCTATGAGTTGAACAACTCATCAACTCATTCGGCCGAGCAACATCCTCTTAGCGGAGCTCTGGGTTGAACAAATCATCAATTCGGCCTGCCAAGTAAGGTCACCTTGGCCAACAAAGTTAGAGTCGAACAATTCATCAACTCGTTCAGTCGAGTGACATCCTGCTCGGCAGAGCTCCGAGTTAAACAAATCATCAATTTGGCTTGCCGGGTAAGGTCACCTCGGCCAGGAAAGTTAAAGTTGAACAATTCATCAACTCATTTGGCCGAGCAACATCCGTTCACCAACTATTTGAGCTGAGCATGTCATCAACTCATTCGGTCGAGCAACGTCCACTCGGTGGATAATTCCAAAGTCGATAAAATCTATTAACTATCCTCTTGTTGAGCAAAGATCTTTTTGGCAAGATCAAGTCATTGAGATCAACCTTACTGCTTTCCCCCCAGTCTGGGCTCCTACTTTAAACTTACACCAGCAAAGCACTGACCCAGACTAGATGGGATGCCCCTAGACTGTGTTCACTCTTCGGTTAGAATTCTCTTCGACTGAACAAATCATCAGTTTTTCGTCGAAAGTTGGCGAGCAAAATCAGTTTGGCAACTTCTTGGCAAGCAAAATCAGCTTAGCTCAGCGTGGAATTTCAACGTTGGCGAGCAAAGTCAGCTCGATAACTTACATTTTGGCAAGCAAAATCAATTCGGTAAGGCTTCTTGGCGAGCAAAATCAGCTCGGCAACTTGCCTCTTGGTGAGTAAAATCAATTCAGCAACTTCTATCTTGGCGAGCAAAATCAGCTCGGTAAGGAACTTCCAAGGTCGCGAGCAAGGTCCGCTCGGCGACTTGCTTCTTGGCGAGCAAGATCAGCTCGGCAAGGAACTCCAAGGTCGGCGAGCAAGGTCCGCTCGGCGACTTGCTTCTTAGCGAGCAAGATCAGCTCGGCAAGGAACACCAAGGTCGGCGAGCAAGGTCCGCTCGGCGACTTGCTTCTTGGTGTAGACGCGCCCGTGGGCCTCACTACAGTTCGGACTCAATTTGTGTCACGGTTCTTAATCTGAACCAAAGAGTCCAAATCCGGCAAATCGTTTTGAGAAACAGATTTTTGAAAAGAAGTGCCAAACATGGACTGCTTTGCCAGATACAGAGTCGCCACCTAAATATTTTATTTTGGGGGAATTTAGGAAACCCTGACTCGGTGCCGAAGGCCACATGTCCGTCATCACCGGAGTTGTCTCGGCTCGGGAGCTTGGGTACGATCGGGGAAGGTCAGCTATGAGCACCCCCTCTCGCCCGAACAAGTAATCATATTCTACTAACCGTGATATCCAATTTTGAAAGATGTTATGTGTTCTTATTCCCCATTATTTAGCCTAAAATTACTATGTTAGCGCACAGCAAACAAGTAATAGACCAAATCGCTAAATTTGGAACAAACATTGTCAATGTTTGTTTTGCAAATGGTTTGGCTACTCGCAAGTAGGCTAAAATGCAGATTTGCCACCCTCAATGTTGTGCTTTAGAAAAAAGATGTTTGCCACTATCTAGTTGGGCTTTAAACTCACAGTTTTAATGCATTTTCCAATTTAGTAATTCAACCTCACCCACAGGCATTCAAGCAGTTATAATACATAACGAGTAGCCTCATGGTAAGTATGCGTGCGTCATGGCAACACTCACACCGCATGCAAGGTATGCTTAAAACATAAACGCTCACCGAGTACCCCAAGCCAAAACAGAAACTAGTTAGTAATCATGTGCATGATCCTAGTTCATGTTGAGATGGCTAATGCAACACATGCAAAATGCAATCTACAATAGGCTCGGCTATCCTAATGATGGCATGTGAAATGCTGCAACTAACAGGTATTCAACTTGGAATTGAAATACAAGTGCAGTTAGTATGATGTACCGAGCCCGATGCATGTAGGACAAATGTATGGATGCACGCATACATAGCATAAGGTATGCTAAATTAAATATGCCCCAATACTAACCATCAAAAGTAGGTAAGTAAAAGGGAGAAAAAAGTGGGGGTTGGAAGACATGCACACACGCACCCACACTTATTACACAGTTACGCTCTCTCTCGGAGAGACCAAAAGAATAATACAAATTAATTAACCTACAAGCTAATTAAATATTACAAACCCTTAACTAATTAACAAATTAATTAAGCTATTTAATGCAGTAAAATGGCCTTGGGAAGAGGGATGCATGTAAGCTTGGATTGGCTTCGCCCGGAAATCCATTGCCATGCACAAGTTGCCTCTGCTTTGACTGTTCTGCTTCTCTGAAAATTGCACAACTCCCAAGGTTGCTTCTCTGAGTGCTGTGGAGCACCACTGGCCAAGTGGGAATACCACCGGCCATGGAGAATGGTCACCGGCTAAACGTTATGCTCTCGGCCAAACCTGTTTTGCCGGTCGGCAACCAACACTGCCGGCCGGCCAATTCTTCCTACTGAAACCTATTTGACAACAGCAGAGGGCAGACAAGGCATGGCAATTTATTTCAAGCAAATGTATGCACCAACCACACTCCCTATCATGTTTATGGCTCAAAGGAGCATGGTACTTGATTCTCGGACCACCAATTGCGCATTTCGATGCGTGATGGCCCAAAGAGTCAAAGTGTGCATTTTAATGTCAAATGTAATGCATACAAACACATAAGGAACCCAACCTCAATCATGGTGATTCAAGAGGCAAGGCATGCATGCCAAATGCAACCTAAACATGTGAGCTAAATATGCAATATGAGCATGCTAGCAAGTAATGTACATTAGGCACACAACCTAAGCAAACAAGCATATAAGGCATGAAGCAATGTAACAACATTTGAGCAACATGCAAAAGGTGGACTCAGACTAATTTGGGCAGCTCTCAAATAAGCCCGAAATAGTGGTCAAATGCTATGGAAATGAGGGCGAATGTTCATACAAACATGCATGCACACATGGTCCAACACTTATGCACAAAGTAGCAACTTTTAAACACATTTAAAAGAGACTATTATGGACAAATGGCAAGCACATTAAACTTTGAAAAATACATGAGGGATGATGCCAAGTCAACCTATCAATGCAAGCAAGGCATGCAATTATGTTCAAAACTCAAGGCAAGCCAAGGGGCTTAAACCATGGCTATATGAAGCAAGTCCCAAAGGGCCGAGGGGACTTAAAACAGTCCCAATGTAGGTTGAGACAAGGCCCAAAGCACACTTAGATGGCATCTAAATGGCCTACACAAGGAAGCATACACAAAGGTCGAAACATGGGGCATGAAACACCAACCTTTTGAAGCATTAAAGAGGCATCAAATGCAAGCATACAAGCATAGAGAAAGGACTGAAATATCATAGCTAATGGTGCCAAACCACTGAAATGATGCAAATAGAGCATGGTAGAGGAGCCAACACTCAAAGCATACAAGCTAGATTGCATGGTAGCTATACAAAGCAAGTCATGGATGACCCAAACAACCAAAATCAGACCTAAATCATGCCAAAATATGCATAAAAGCTTCACAAAGCTAAGCCAAAATCATGCTAGAAACAAGTCTCAAAGCACAAAGCATGTTAAGGCAATTTCATGGCATTACAAGACAAGTATGCAAAGCAAGCATGGTGTGTCTAAACCAAGTAAAAACAGTGCTATATCATGGAAAAATAGGCATAAATAACATTTAAGACATGGCCAACATGAACTTAAAAATGGTGCTCACACATGAGGCTAAAATGGCACTTTTTGAAGACAACAAGGAGAGGGGATGACCCTCTCCTTCCTAGGACCTTAAACCACCATCCTCACCACTGAAATCCCTCAAGATTTCAATGGTGAGGAGGCCCAAACAAGGTGGTCCCGAAACTCACCAAAAATAGCACAAAATGGGGCCAAACAAGGCCTAAGAGGGGGTAAACGACCCCAAACACAAAAGTGACCTTAATGAAGTATCTTAAACACAAAAAACAGAACTTTTTTATGTTATACACAAAGCCCAAATCCGCAAGAAAGACAGGCTAAAAGGGTGTGCAAAAACGGGGAATAAAGAGGGAAAATGGGTTACCTTTGTAGCCAAAAGGGGACAGCAGCCGGCAGAAGCTATCCTTTGGGCACGCACGGTTGACCGTCTTATAATCAACGCAAACCCGCCACTTGCCGTTCTTTTTCGGCACCACCACCGTGTTAGATATCCATCTAGGGTATTGCACTTCTTCTATTGCCCCCGCTTCCAACAAGTTCTTGACCTCTTCCGCCACTATCTCGGCATGGTGCAAGGCCGAGCGCCGTGTCCTCTGGATGACTGGCCGTATATTTGGAAAGACGTTCAACTGGTGGCAAATGAAGCTAGGGTCGACGCTATGCATAACGTAAGGCGTCCATGCAAAGGCCTCCATGTTGGAAGCCAAAAAGTCAACGTACTCAAGTCGCTCGGCGCTGGATAGAGATGAGCCCAAAAGAAAGAACTTGTTTGGGTCATTCTCGTCCACGCGCACCTTCACCAAGTCTTTGACCGATTTCTCCTCGGCCTTTCTTCCTATGTCTTCCAGGACTTCCTTTTCCTCTGGACCCTCAATCATTTACACAAAGCCTTTGGCAGCTCTGCTGCCATTTACTGCGACGAAACACTATTTTGCCATCACCTGGTCTTTCCAAACCTCTTCTATCTGTCCGGCTGGTGTCGGAAAGCGCAAGACCTGATGGTGGATCGATGCTACCGCCTGTATGGCATGCAACCAGCCCCTGTCCAAAATTAAGTTGTAGGTCGATGGGACCTTAAGCACCCAGAACTCCACTTGCTTTGTGACTGATCCCGCTTTGACCGGCAATATGATCTTTCCGATCGGCCATTTCGGTTGAGAGTTAAAGCCAACCAATGAAGACGTTACGGGGGCCAAGTCCTTGTCCTCCAACTTCATCTGTCTAAAGGCGTCATAATACATGATCTCGACCGAACTTCCCTGGTCAACTAGAATTCTTTTAATGTCGAAGTATTTGACGCGGAGGGTCACCATTAAGGCGTCGTTATGAGGCATTTGAATTCTCTCCAAGTCTTTGCTTGAAAAGGTCAGGACGTCCTTTTCCTCGGTCTTCCTTTTCTTCACGGCGGGCTGAATGGAGAGCACCTCCCTCACGTGCTCGGCTTTCTTGATCATCCATCTTTGCTCGCAGACCCTTGCCGGCTCAATGATGCCATGGATGACATTGATTATGCCTTGCGGCGCTGCATCCAAGACGGTGAGGCCGTTTGCTCTCATGCCATCACCAACTCCTTCAAATGTTGTTTGAGCGGCAAACAGTCATTCGTTCGGTGCCCTCGTTCCTCATGAAAGGTGCAGCAATACCTTGAGTTGAAGCCTCTCTGCGTGTTTCCCAACTTGGCCGGCCATCGGACGTAGGGTTCACCCCGGATTTCACTCAGGATGCGGTAAATAGGGATTTTAAAGACCGTGGTGATGCTAGTTTGCACTTTGAACTTTCTCTTGGCATCTTCCTCTTCATAACGAGGAGCGTTAGCTCGATCGTTTCTGCGACCTTTGTTCCTATCATCGCGGTTTGAGCCACGACGTTGATCCTTTGACCGGTCATTTGGGCGGTTGTTCTTCTGCCCTACTGAGTGAACCTTCCCTGCCACTCTTCTGTCCGCTGTGACTAGATTTTCTTTCTCGGTTGCGGTGGCGGCATCATCCTCTACTTGGATGTGTTCATTGATCCACTGCATCAAAGATTCCATGGTAGTGGGCTGGTGCATCGTAAGCGAATCTCGCAGCTTATGCCCGGCTGGGAGACCCCACTTGTATTGGGTGATCGCCAGATTGGTGGGGCAGTCGAGGATCTCATTGTAGGTTTCCCAGTACTTGGCATTGTATGCCTGTAAAGAGCTTCCAAATTCCATCTTAACACTCAGGAAATGGTCGACCTCCTTCGGTGTTTGAGTGTTGGTTTTGAATCTGGTGACGAAGGTCTCTGCCAGCTGTTGCCATCCCTCGATGCTCCCCTCCGGAAGCCTTTTGAACCATTTCAGGCCCAGTTCTCCCAAGCTTGCTGGGAATATGAGGTACATCAAGGCGTCATTGCGCCGATGTCCAGCCATTACTTGCCGGTAATGACTCACGTGCATGTACGGATCCGTCTTGCCGTCGTACAAGGTGAACTTAGGCTGGTGGAATCCGGCAGGGAGTGGTGTACTCTCAATTTCTAGGGATAACGGCGTAGCCGTAAGTCTCGCTAGCTCTTCGTCCACAAGCACTGGGGCCACCACTTTGGGTGCTGGCATTGCCACTTCCTCACTACAACGGGTTCGGGAGCTTAGCCTCTGTAATGCCGGCAATCTCTGAGTCTCCCTTCGGCGAACCCTCTCCTCCAACATATCCCTCAAGTCTCCAGAACGGGCATAAAAAGAGTATCGCGACGTCGGCGATGGTCATGACGGACGATAGGTGCTGTCGCGAGTGTGAGACTTGCCCACCTGTGAGTTGAGTCCCCAACCCTATAACTTTTGGTGATAGAGAGAGAGTGCATCCTCTCTTGTCGGCGACTGCCAGAACGAGGAGATGGGGTGCGCTTACTGAGGCTACCCTCTCTAGCAACACCCTTCCCCTTGATCTGGCGTTTCAGCATCTCCATTTTAGCCGCCATCTTGCGAATGAGAGCGTCTTAGTCTTTGAGTTTATGCTCCAGGCGTTGTGCATACAACTCCCCTCGCCGTCGACGGCCCTCTGGACTCTTCGAGCAATCAATACTCCTTGCACATTTGTCTCGCGCACCTCTCGAGATGTCTCCAGGCCCGCCATGGTTGGAATAGCAGGGGGTCCTTCTCTCCGTCGAACAGATTCTGGCATGACACCATTGATGACGGATAGTGGAGTTTCATCGTTGTTAGCCATGCCAACGGTCGAAAAAGCTTGAAGAGCAAGGTTTGTCTTAAGTCTTCCCACAGACGGCGCAAATTGTACGGGGGCAAAATATCCTCTGCTTTCCGTACTCCTTGCACTCCAAGCCTCTCTTGACGGCGTCTAACCTGGCAACACAGAAACGGTGAGCTGCCCGGCAGTGGTGTGCCGGATAGACCCTTCGATGATCAAATCAGGCCACTTGAAGAAGAAGACTAGAGAGAGAGGGTGTTTTCTTAGAGAAAGAAGTTGCATACCTCTAACATTCCTCTTTCCTTCTATTTCTAGGTTGGCCATGCAACCTCAAGATTGTGCGTGCACTACCTCTGCTGTCCTTCCCTGGACAGGTGACAGTGCTCGCCTCTCACCACCTTACGCGTGTAAAGGCTTAGTCCTCCCACCAGTACACGCAGAACTGTCCAACGGTATTGATGCGTGTGTGGAGCAGATGTCCTCTCCCTCACGCCATTAGCCCAGGTGGCACACCTAACCAGAGTACCACGACCAGCCTATCCCTTGTGGAGAACTGTCACCACATGCATGCAACCGAGCTATGTGTCGCCGGCCTGCCCCTTTGGCAAAGGGGCCAAGGGGTGATGCTCATGATCGGGCTGATATTGACCGGTTTATTGTGGCTTACCAGTTCCGAGGCATGCCGGCCTCCATCCGTTCTATCTTCATCCGAGGTTATCTGGAATCTGTCCATCTCGGCTAATTGTTCAAAGGCATGTCGGCCTTCGCCTCGTCCTCGGTTTAGCCCGAGCTACATGTAGCCTGGTCTCGCCACTCGACTACGTGCCCTGCCAAATGTCTACAAGTCACAGCTCGGCCAGGCGTAGTTTACGCCTGGTCTGCCGATCTCCTTGACCGAGCAAAACAGATCCACCGGTCGTCTCAGTAGAGGAAATAGCGCGGCGCTGTGAAGTTTGTCACGACCGGCACTATCGTAGCTCGGCCGTACTAACGGTGCAAATCTCCCCTCTCAGGAACAATCAAAAAGTCACCATCAGCGTTGCAGGAGGCACGATTGTCCATTGATTTGTTGGTAGTCTACACGTGAATGGAAAAACCATGCCGAAGGTAGGAACTGCCAGCCCCACATAGTATATATAAACCATCAATAAAATCAGTTGGTGTATCAGGAATTTCCACAGGCTTCCAACGTAATTGAGTTGGGTTGGCAGAGCTGTTGGACTTGTTAAATTCACTGACAAGCTTCTCATGACTTGGTACTAGAGGTTTAAATGGGTTGTGTGTAACTGATGGTTTGACACGATATAACCAACTTCGCTGGTTGAATTTGCGAGGGGCAATGAAAGCAGTGCCGGAGATGAAGCGGCTAGAGCGGCTGCCAGTGGAACAACGGCTGTAACTGGGGAAAATTTGAGGAGGATGGACGGTGGAGATTGAGCCACGCAAACTTGGAACATGAGATCTGAAGAGCCATGTGGGCAGCTGGGGAGAAGAGAGACTGAACCATCCCTTGACTGGGTGTGTCTGTGTGTGATAGCAGAGAGAGAGAGGTGCCGAGAGGGAGAAAAGAAAGCTCTGAACAGCCACCCCACTCCCTTTGTGTGCGTGTCTGTCTTTTTTGTTGCAGATGGTGATCAACTATGCTCCAAAACCAGAGAGACAGAGAGAGGTCAGCCAAGGAGGCTGACCCCCCTGTGTGTGTCTCCTTTTTTCTCTATAAAAATCTCTCTGAAAATATATTTTTCACCCCACACTGATGAGCACCTTCTCAGCACATAGAGAGAGGGAGAGATATCTCTTGTGTGTGTATATATTTTTTAGCTCAAATAAAAGATGCTTTGTCCCCTCCTCCTCTCCCCAACATCTGAGAGAGAGAGAGAGAGAGAGAGAGATCAGTTTTTTTTTTTAATCAATCCTCAGCCTATCTGAGCAAATATCTTATCTCTATTCTAATATATGAACATATGTATATATACACAAGTACCTCTCTTTTTTTCTTTTCTTTTTTTAATTTTCTATTTTCTATTTTTTTTTATTTTATATTTTTCTATTTTATAAAATATCTAAAATATATTATTTATACCAATTTATATAAAAACAACTAAAAATCTGTACACACATAAAATTATATAAAATTATAAAATATTACAAATTAATAAAATATTAGTGATATAAAATAATTTGGCCGAAATGGGTGAGGTTTGGGATTAAAGTTTCAATTTGATTTTTCTACTGAGAAACTCTTAAAATAGCACATTCCAATTTTCATCATCGGGTGGTCAAAAGAAAGAGTGCAAGTCTTAGGTCCGATCAAAATGGGGTGTCTACAGTTGCTCCTCTTTGACAAAGCTCGAAGTCAATTTATGACTTGAGTATATGTCAAAGCCCAAAGACGACCCTTTTGACATGGCTGTAAGACTTTGGCCAAACAAACAAGATGCAATGCAAATGGTTGAACTAGAAGGTTGCCTACTTATCCCATTGCAACGAATCAAACCAGCATAATTCATAGAGAAGAATGCAAAAGATATACAAAACATAAATGCAATCAAGACAATGATGTGACACTGAACAAAAGCATAAATTAGAGCAAAACAACTCCAGTCGTGTCTCACACGAAAGGAGAAAAGGTGAACTCGAGATCCAAACGCGCCGTATGCGAGAGGAGGGATAGTGAACTTGAGATCCAATCGTGCCGTATGCGAGATGAGCGATAGTGAACTTGAGATCCAATTGAGCCGTATGCGAAAGGAAGAATAGTGAACTTGAGATCCAATCGCGCCGTATGCGATAGGAGGCATAGTGAACTTGAGCTCTAATTGCGCCGTATGCGAGAGGAGGCATATTGAACTTGAGATCCAATCGCGCCGTATGGGAGAGGAGGGATAATGGACTTGAGTTTGAACTTGCGATCCAATCGCGCCGTATGCGAGAGGAGGGATAGTGGAGTTGAGTTTGAACTTGAGATCCAATCGCGCCGAATGTGAGAGAAGGGATAGCGGACTTGAGCTGGAGCATAGTCGTACCTAGCCGTATTTCATACAGAGTGGACAAAGTTTTTAACCAGATAAACCTGAAGTCCTAAATGTGAAGTCCAAATGCATCTCACGCGAATGAGAGAAGGTATATTAGAATGACAAGAGGTAACCTCTATATGTAGAAGCTACGGATGTCGCTTTTCTTCCCGATCATATTCACAACTTTTCCTATTCTCCAATGGGGTGACAGACTAGGTTGGTTCAGTATCCAGAATTGAGGCGCATACACGCTACCTCAACCTATGGGGTTGCCATACAGATTTCAAGCCGGGGATGCACCCCTGGGTATTTAAACTAGACTTTAGTCTCGGAAATTCAAAACATTTTCGTTCTAGACATCGCCATTCGAACTCTAGTTTCCACCGTCTCAGTTGGCCTCCTAGGAACTCATCGCAAACACAGGCATGTGGCTATACCAGACTGCCTGAAGTCGTTCGGGTACGACAAACACCAAAGGAATTGCACCTCTAGAGGATTTAAGGTCTCCTAGACCCGGGGAGTGCACAAGACTGTGCGAGTAATGTGCACAGAACAGTGTGAGGCAGGATGAATGCACAAAACAGTGCTAAATGTGTGCACAAGACAGTGCGGTACAAGTTTGCACAAGACAGTGTGAGGTAGGTGCACAAAATAGTGCGATGCAAAGTGAATGCACAAAACAGTGCGAACTAAAGGTGCACAAAATAGTGCGATGCAAAGTGAATGCACAAAATAGTGCGATGCAAGGTGCACAAAACAATGTGAACTAAAGGTGCACAAAACAGTGCAATGCAAGATGCACAAAACAGTGCGATGCAAAGTGAGTGTACAAAACGGTGCGAACTAAAGGTGCACAAAATAGTGCAAACTAAAGGTGCACAAAACAATGCGAGCTAAAGTGAATGCACAAAACAGTGCGATATAAGGTGAACAAAACATTGCGATGCAAAGTGAATACACAAAACAGTGCAAACTAAAGGTGCACAAAATAGTGCGATGCAAAGTAAATGCACAAAACAATGCGAACTAAAGGTGTACAAAACAGTGCGAACTAAAGGTGCACAAAATAGTGCGAACTAAAGGTGCACAAAACAGTGTGAACTAAAGTGGATGCACAAGACAGTGAGATGCAATGTGAAATGCACAAGACAGTGCTATGCAATGCACAAAACAGTGCGATGTAAGATGTAATGCACAAGATAGTGCTATGA